CACACACACACACACACACACACACACACACCAGATGTACCACTCTCATCACCTTTTAGCACTGGTGAGCGTCCCTGTAGATACGGAAGAGGGAGGCACAGGGTGAATGAAGGGGAGGGAGGGGAGGAGGGAACGATGAGAGAGGGAGGGAGGATGGACGAGCATCACAAGTCTCCGTCAGATGGGCTGGAGGCTCTTTGGAGCAACAGATAGCAGAGCGGCAGACAGAAGAAGGAGAAGAGCGAAGAGGAGAGTGTCTCCATCCCTCCATCTCTATGACACACTTCTCTCCTCCTCCCACGTGAACACGAGGACCCCTTAACTTTGAGGATTGTCCCTCTTCCTCCTCCTCCTCCTCTTTCTCCTTCTTGTGCACGCTGCTTTGCTCCAGAGCTTTTGACGCACGCCTTTGCGACTATAGAAACGAAGATTTGAGCGGCACCGCGGGCGGGAGACACACGGACGCACAGCGAAGATGAGGGGATCGCTCCACACCTCCTCGGACATTCACCACAAACACCACCGCGTAGGACACGCGGGTTTAATGATCTCTTCGTATGAGTGTGAGTGCGCGCATGTCCGTGCGGTGCGCAGATGGAGCTGTGCGCTCCGAGCGTGAGCGCCGCAGACCGAGTGGCCGCGCTCCTCCTGGACACCTGCTGCTGCTGCTGCATGTGAGGATGAAGAAAGTCTCCGCCAGCATGTGACATTTATTTATTTTATCCTCAGGGGACCTACAGAAGGGGTCAAGCGCCAAAAAGAGAAGGAGTTATAGGAGTGGGACCCCCACTCCCCCCTTCCCCCCCTTCCTCATCTTCTTCTTCTTCAGATTAAATTCAGGATGGGTCCTGTTTGGCTTCTTCTTCTTCTGGTCCCATCCCTCCTCAGAGCGCAGGTGACTCCAGACCCATCAGGACTCTCGGTGGACAAAGACAACAGCACCAACTCTTTGACAAACAGCACAGGAACCTCAAATGTCTCCCCCTCCCCCTCTAGTTCCTTCAGACCCACTGAGCTGCCTGGGTTTGCAGCGACGCCTTCAGAAGCTCCCACACAGGAGGAAGATGACTGGTCACCAGCAGAGACCTTCCTGTACACTAGAGACCCGTTGGCTCTGGAGGCCGCCCGCTGCTCACGGGCGTACAGCCCCCCGGGGCTGGCCGGATCGCTGCCCGTCAGCTTCAGTGCCCCCCTCCGGCCGGCTCTGGATGCGCTGGCTAATACGGCCAACTTCCTCAACATGATCTTCCAGGCCAGTGACCTGCGGGAGAGCACTGTGCAGGAGGACATGGAGTGGTATCACGCCCTGGTCCGCGCCCTTCTGGAGGCCGATCTGCTCATCCGGCGGGCCCTGCTCACCTTCGACGCTGACCCGACGTCCCCGGTGCCGCAGCTGGTGCTCTGCGCCTCACGCAACCCGACAGCCAAGGTGCAAACCATCATCCTCCAGGACTTATCCAAGGCCTGGGAGAGCCTGCACCCGCCCGCCCCCGCCCCTGACGACAGCTGGTTCCGAAGCTTTAAATTCCCGGAGTCCAATCAGCCGACGGCGGCTCTGTCCAAGCGGGTGCTCCTCAACGACCTCAGCACCTTGGACACGCCCAAGTGGAGGCAGGGCGACAGCTACGTGACCAATCACAGCGGGGTGCGCTGGGGCAGCACCCCCTTCCTCGACTGTGAGGACGGACTCTTTGTTTCCGACTGGGTGCTCACCCTGTCCACGTCCTTCTACGGCCTCAAGCCTGACCTGACGCCAGAGTTCAGGTTAGGACACAAACACACACTTAAATGCAAGCTTTTACACTAGTGTCAATTTTGTCCGATTTTTTTAATCTATTCTTAGTCCTTTGTCAAATGGCCATGTTAGTTTTTGTCATTTAGTCAATCTCACCCTGTTCTAAATGGACCATCATTTACTAAATGAACATCATGCTGTATTGAAGAAGACTTGAAACTAGAGATTGAGACCATAAACTCATGTTTACAATGTTTACTGAGGTAATAAATCAAGAGAGAAGTAGAGTCATTTTCAAGACTCTACTTTTATTTAGATTTTGCAAGGTAGAGAAGAGAAAGAAGCTGGTCAGCTTCAGACTCTCTGAGGGTTAAATTGTCCACTGTCGACCAACAACTGTCCATTATGGGTCGAATGAGACATTATGGACCATCTCATGCTGTTGATTATTGCTAGTATTTGTGTCCCTCAACTACAGTAAAGTCTCCTTTCTTTCCTGCCGGTAAAACATATTTAAAATATAGGATAACATTCCAGGAAAACTTGGACGCGAGTCTCAAAATAAGCTCTTTTTTTTCCTAAATCTCTGAAAAGGATAAAAGCTCTCTAGCTGACATAACTTATTTTGTATTTCACCTGCTGTTCTAGTTCTGAGTCGGCCCTGTGACCGTCTGTCCAGCACTCTGGAGAAAAGTTTGATGAGCATGTGGAATAAAAACATTGTTTTAATTAACAAAGTTAATCTGACGTTTGAAAGGGAATCCTCATGAAGGCCATGCAGGTTTCTACAGACAGGAAAAGGGATTCTTCGAAAGAGTCTGGTGATATTCAGAGTCCCTCTTTACTTCTTTACTCTGACTCATGTGTGTGAACCTCCCTCCTCTGTGTGTGTGTGTGTGTGTGTGTGTCAGAGGTGTGATCCGTGTGGACGTCAACATTCAAGACATCGACTTGGACCAGTGTGCAACAGGAGACGGCTGGTATGCTGATACTCACCAGTGCAACCGCACCACCATGGAGGTAAACTGGATGATCGGACCAGAGAGAAACATCCTGCTGCTTTGTGTCTTTGAGCTGAACAAGAAGAGAAACGTTTATTTTAACCACCAAACTGCCCAATTATATAGGAACCAATGATCGGTAATAAAAAGTCACAAATAGGTTTATTTCCTCTGCAAAGATTTGTTAGCCGGATGTCTCAAAAACAACTCAACAGATTCTAATGAAATTTGACGCAATTAGCCAAGAAACAAGTGGTTGTTTTTGGAATTTGATGGCATTTCACCAAACAGGTTGGTTTGACAATTTGTATCGGCCATTATTCAGTGTGGAGCCCCCTCCTCTAACCTTTAAGCTGCCTCCCAAAAGGGCAAACCGCCCCACAAACAGCATGCTAAGTGTTACCTTACCTGTGAAGCAACAACGCCAGTGAACTTTTACAAAGACAAAATGGATGGTTTGAAATACAACGGGTTAACTTTGTCCGTGAAGATGTTCGGTGTTTACCATCATTAATCAGACAAAAGCCCACAGAGATTCAGATTTGACTGTTGAATTGTGAGATCATTTTAGTTAAACACATGCTGCCACTTGTTGCATATTGTGTCTAATTGTCTCTATGTTCTATTGTGGGTCTGTTTAGTCTGTGAGTGAGTTGGGATGACGCGTGATAACGCTGGTTGTACCGAGGACAGTGGATTCATACTGTCCCGTACCTTAGATTAATGAGCCACCACGATGTGCCCTTTTTGTGAAATCACTTTCAGTCTATCAGCCTCATCTGTTAATGATTCACAGGAAGCAATAACAATCTATGTGCGTTGCCTGTGGTGGGGATTTTTAGTTAAAAAGGTTGAGAACTCCCACGATCAAAGGTTTGCATCTTCTTAGATATTACTCAATTTAAAAGCAGCAGTTTGGTGCCAGAAAGGGATGTTCGGATATCCTTCACCGACCTGTGATTTGAAGCAGGTCTGGTGTCGTTCAAAACAACCAGACAGATCTTTTTTTAGTGTCACAGCACAAAGTCGTGCCGGCCTTACCTGAACCCTGGTGAGTCTGACTGTCTGCGTTGTCCTCTGGTGCGTTCACAGCTCTGCGCTGGTGTCAGATCCGTCAGATTAACATTTAACATATAAACACAGACAGACTTCCGGGATTATGTAGTAATTGTGGCGACATTTCTCACTATGTTCACTTTCTTTACAAAACAAACAATCGATCGTTAAATGAAAATCAGCAGATGAATCCATAATGAAAAGAGGAAATTTGACTTTTTGTATTTTTAAAGTGTGGTATTAGTACTTTAACTTAAGTAAAGTTGCTGAATACGCCACCACTGCTCCCCTTCATTTAAATACTAACTAAACTGTAGACAAACTGTTAAAACGGTCTAACTCGTGTTTGTGACTTTTAGTTACAGACACACTCGTAACTGTTTGTGACCTCTGAACATGGTTTAAGCTCTTTTTGTCTGTGCTCGTTTTTTTTGCCTTTTATCCTTTGCTCATGCTTTCACGTATTCACACGTTCACTCTTCCACCGCCACCACCTCCACCCGTCTTTTAGCTTTCCCTTTTCCCTGCCGGCCAGTCAGTGCAGACCCAATCCTCCACCTCTCATCTCGGCCGTCTATTTAAAGATGGATGCGCTGGGTGGCGGGCTGCGGGATGATCTGATGGATTATGGCGATAATCCAGCCCGCTGACATACTTCCCCTTTATGCACCGCACTCACAGAGGGTCTGGAACACAAGAGAAGAACAGTCCATCAAAAAAACCCAAATCCACATGGCACCCTTTGTCCCGTCCTGTCCTACCTGGTTTAGAACAAACTTGTAGCTGGTTTAAAATGAGTCAAACGACACAGCTGATATGTTTATCGCTAGATATGCTAACTCTGTTGAAGGAGCTGTCTTCAACATTCTGAACATGAATATAGCAGCAAACAACGATTATCTACGTTAAAATATAGAGGAGTGATGTCTACCCCAGCAGAGAATGCGAGCGTAGCACCCACCCGCTATAGTTCCCCCTTCAGGTAAACACTGTAAACTCCGTCACCACTTTCCCCTGTTTTCCCTCATCACCCCTCATCTCTCCCCAAACAAATCCTGAGTGAAAATGCAAAAAATTCGGACATTAATTTTAGCATGGAGGTTTTTTCTGCTTGGCTGACGTGGAAAGGTTGTGATTTAAACGTTCACTGGAGAGACAAAAAATGGCGTCAGACTGAACAATCACATCTTGTAACCTTCCTCACAATAATACATCAAACAAACGTAAATGGCATATTTACGTCACGTTTTTCTACATTTCATTCCATCGTCTTAGGCTTCACCAGGCGGCAACCTCCGGGTTCTGCCGAGTGAAGCCAATGCTTCATGTCTTAAAGCTGCATTCTCTCTAGTGACCATCAGGGGGCGACTCCTCTGGTTGTATAGAAGTCTATGAGAAAATGACTCTACTTCTCTCTTGATTTATTACCTCAGTAAACATTGTAAACATGAGTTTATGGTCTCAATCTCTAGTTTCAAGTCTTCTTCAATACAGCATGATGTTCATTTAGTACATTATGGTCCATTTAGAGTCAAACAGACCATAAAGCAGGGGATGCTTTAGGGCGGGGCTTACTGTGATTGATAGGTCGCTGCCGCTACCAGAGACGTAAACGGCGTCTCTACGTCACTCCTCCGCATTCCAAATATGGTAACTTCTGTTCGTTGGTGGCGAAAAATAACAACTGATGAATCTGAATCTGAATCTGATGCTGTTTCAAGTGTTTTTTAAACATACATATCACCGCCCCGTTCAAGTTTCCACTACATTGACGTTAACAACAGGCCGCCATGAAGCGTTCGAAGTGGCCGCCGTGGGTTTGAAATAAACACAGCAGATGACTGAATCCACTGACGTACTACGACTATCTGATGAATTGAGATGCCACCATGAAGAGAATTAAGTTGACCGCTTTGTATAATCCATATCACATTAATGTTCAACCCGTTCCATTAAGTCTTTGAGTATCTGATAGAGGGGTTGTGGGTTTGTATATATACATATGCAAGGCCAGTGCAAGTGTGTGTGTGTGTGTGTGTCTGTGTGTGTGGGTGTGTGTGTGTGTGCTTGGAACAGGATTTCTCTAGAAAAGGATAATGCTCTCAGTGGAGCCATTATGTATCCATTTAGCTTTTAACTTAGATTAACACACAGAGCATCCAACTGTGTGTGTGTGTGTGTGTGTGTGTGTGTGTGTGTGTGTGTGTGTGT